TAAAATAAAATACGTTTATAACATATTATAAATGACAAATGAAAAGTAAATTCAGAATCCAAAAGATAGTAAATTCCTCAAAGACAGGAACTCTGCTTCATTCACCTTTGAATCTTCACAATAGCTATAACATTTATTAAGCATTTACTGAAGGTTTGGCTTGAGGAGTTTACAAAGAAATGGAGCCTGAACGTTATTTATAATATACTGGAAAATTGATGTTTGTAGATAATGTGTTTAATAAGCATTAGAACATATATTTGAATAAATGACACAGCTGATCTGTCAGTGAGAATGTGGTTGACACGTGAATTCTAAATTTAAAACACTTAATATATGTTTTATGTAAGAAGAAAAATAAGACAGCTCTATACTTACACTACATTTAGTGGTAAGGTATGGCTGCATAGTCATGGCATGTTTAACCATCAGCTGGGGTCTTATTTTGCTGAATAAGAACAAAGTGGTTATGCAAGCTACCAATCTTCCCGAATTCACACCTTTATTGTCAGAGTCTAGAAAAACAAAGAGAAATAAAACACTAAAATATGGCAAGGTGGTGGAAATTATGCGGAATGTTATTTAAATTACTAAATATTATCCCCTGAATAGATTCGGTATAGGCCTCCATATAATGGATTAGTATTTATGATACTAGACTTTCCATATCTCATTTTTTCTTTGTTATAGAAATTCATATACTGAAGACAGAACAAAGAGGCCATGGTATAGAAGGCAAATTTTACACTAGGAGGAATAGGATTGAAGTTAAAAGTAGAATGGAAGTTAGGAAGTTTAGGGATGGGCTTTTGGGAATAAATGTGGTGTTGGTTATATCCAAAAATTATTGGAAGTGAATATAGGAAAGAAAGTGGGCAATTTAGCTGAGGTGATACTGTATTTAAAGGTACTAGAAAAAAAGATTTTGCTGTGGTAGAAGAATTAAAAAATGGGAATGACAGAAGTTGGACCAATGCTATATTAAAAAGTCAAACAAAATGCTGTTCTAGTGGGAGGACAATGTTGCTAGTTAGGAGACACACTGATTTGTAGGAAACAAATTAAGTTTTAGAGGGGACTGGCAACTTTTTAATATTAAGGGATACCAGTATCACCCCTAAATTCTAGGATGGGGAAAAATAGG